CTACAACCCATGCCTAAGCAAAAGCTTGTCGAGGAGCGAGGGGAAGAAGAAGTGCCAGCGGGTAAAAATCAAGGTCCCTGGAACTGGGCCAAAATGTGTGTGTGTGTGTTTGCTTGTGGTTTTCTCTCCTGACGGGAAAGCGGGGCCAGGCAGCGCTGTTTAATCAAAGCGAAAACACGAATGGCGCTGCCGCCCAAAAATCAACGTAACTATTAAATGAATCATAGCCCGGGGGTAGCCCCGGCCTCGGCTCGAGTCTAATTTGTTTTCGTCAATAGCCAGGGAGCAAAAGATTAGGGCGAAAAAGGGGCTTGGCCATGCGAAGAGCGAGAACGCTAATTGTTCGTGCGGAGCATGCACAACATGCACAACGTGCGAAAGAAGACGATGACTACAGATAGCGCCCGCACTTAAGAACTTAGCAGTTAAGAAATTGAGACTTGCAAAAAATCAGAAGCTAAGAACTTGAGCACCATTTGTGAGCTCGGTTAAGAACCCCACACTATAAAACCTATATAGCGTCCATTTGTAGCCCACAAGAGGATGATCAGCAAAATAAGGACCCCAGCCTCGGCCGAAACTAGGGTTATTGAGTGCGGGCGCCATCTGTATCCACTCTGCTTCCTCCTCCCATTCAGAAAACAGGGCGGCGTCGCAATGAAGCCACTTCAAGTACTACCCCACTTTTTTTGCGCATGTGTGCTGACGACCGGTAGGTAAGTGCATGCCATTTTCAAGGAAACATACACACGTACAACCGCTAACTGTAGAAGACGCCAATGACCAGGCACGCACAGACAGGCAAAACACAACAGACAGGAAGAGGAACAATACTTCATATGAAAGCAAAGGAGGCGACGTGAACACCCGCAAAAACAAAAAACAAGTAACACAGTGAACGCGCGCAAAGAACCATCATTTTAAAAACAAATGAAGTACATGAGCCGGCTCAGCCGGCGAGCTTGTCAGTTGCCGCCACTCAACGTCGATAAATTGAGCGGGCGAGAGGGAGGCGACGTGGACGTTGAAAAATCTCCGCGTCTGTCTGTCGCTCGCTTTCTTCGCATACTACAGGAGGAATTTAGGAAAATAAGCGCTGGCCCTCTCGTCCCGAGCTATGCCTGGTCCTCGCGCTTTTTGGTCGGCACGATTTGCCCGCATGAATGTAGTCTATTCCTTTCGCGCTGTCCTCGCTGGCACGATTTGCCCGTCTGGCTTCTGCACGCATCGCTGCCGCGCTGTCCTCTCCAAGAGCGGGAAGAGGGGACCCATCTGGGCGAGTATTCTTGCCGGATCGTTTTGCCGACACGAAAAAAACTCTTTTGGGGGTTGCTGTTAATCTTGTGGGGATGAAAATAACAGCAGTGATAGCAACACCTCTGATTTACATGTGCCGACTAGCGTGTTTGATGGACGGTGGTGGCCGCAATGCGAACCACGCATCCAGCTGCGAGGACAGGAAGGGACAGGGCGTGGGTGTGGCCTGACAAACGGGCCTTGGACTAGGTAGTGACTAGGGAGCCACGGTGCACGGTGTATCCAAAGAGTCTCGATGGAAAGTCACTCTTATCGCGGATCTCCTGCCCAAGTTAGGGCGCCACAGCCGCCAGGGATGTCCACCAAGAAAAGCATTTGTCATCCACGGCCTCGAGGGATGGGAGTGTTTGAGGCCGTCGAGCAACCAGGGAAATGCTGCAACTATTCGCCTTCCCTTAACAAATCGAAATATAATCAACTTGGCGCTGATTCATCGTCCGCCGCGTATTTCCTTTTTTGCTAACCACGTGCGAGGACGCGATTCTTTTGTCAAATCAGTAAGGTGCCTCGGTTTGGGATTGCCCAGAAAAGGGTATTTCCACAGTACCGTCAAAAAAGGAAAAACCAAGGTTCCATTCAAGCCATGGAGTATCGAGCCCTCTCTCATCAACACGTTCCACCCACCCTCTTTAATACGGAACTCCATATCTGCACCGAGGGTTCCCACGGATCAAAGCCTACACCCCCAAAGAACTTGTCCCGCTACTGAAACAAGTGCCCGGCTACGTCCGACCTTTGCGCGAAGAATAATATGCACATCAAGTACATTAGCCTCAAGTAACCGGTGATACATTTCAACCAAGAGGTTGATGGTTTCTCGTGGGTAATCTTGGCCTCCAACACCCGTCGCTAGTACATTTCACATTTCAGTCATTCTGACAGAGCCAAACCACGCATGGTAATCAAAATCGGATTCGGATCCGTTCTATTGGAAGGTCCATTTGATCCGCATGCTTCGAGACACCACACTCCACTTCCAATGTATTCTCGAGTTGGCGATCCAGCAGTCGCATCATACGGAATCGCGCGGGCCCAGCTTGCGGATCGTCTTCCGACTCCCTACTGTCCTGTTTACGGTGAAAGCGCCGGGTTGGTGAAAGGTAAGAATAAGATACGTCAACCATGAGGGGTGCCCGATCCTTCGGTTGTTATTCAGAATCATAGGTCAGCCCAACTTTGCACGCATATTATGCTTACAGTGGATAAAGAACCGCACGGCAAACAAAGTGAGGCGCACCTTTCTCGCCTTGAAGTACGTGTTCGAAAGAGCTGAGGATGGTCTTATGCCGTCCTTCTTCAGCGCAAACACAACCTTCAGAGCGGCATCCGGACGTTGTGCCCGACCACACCTGCAACGATCAACGAGATGACATTGGATCGTGCTTTGTGAGCACCTTCTCGCGAACAATGCAAGCACAAGAACGCTGAAAACGGGACCCGAGCGATGACACTTACACGTATAGCAGCCCACAGTACGCGGAGAAAAGGTCTTTCTTGCGGTTCTCCTGCGGCCGTCGAGTTTGCTGGGCAGAGATGCCATTTGACTCCACGTCGGAATCTTGCACCAACGCGGGTCGCACACACCGTCGCCAGAACGAGATGGCGCCCTGCCAAAGGGTATTTTCCGTCAGGGCAGAGAAACCGCAGCAATCAACAGAGATACCGCATGTCGGACGTGATACCGAACGTGCAATTCTTGATTCCATTGTACACTGCGAACAGCGTTGACGACTGCAACATGACAAAAGGCGAAGATCCAGCCGGTGCCGCGCTTGACCGTTTATGAACACGCAAAGAGGAATGAGCACATGCTTGGTACCATGGGAGTGGGTACAGGCGATTCTGAAACCGAGTAAGACGCACAGCGGCTAACAATGACACGAAACAACAATCTTGACTCACCGTGAGATCAGCGCCGAAGCCAACCAAGACCGCGTTGCAGATTTTGCCGTTCAACTTAATACCTCTCTCCGTGGCCTCCATATACAGCTGGGTGCAAAGCTCCGTCGACGAGACTTGCTCTGTGCCGCCATACGCAGCGCGTATCCCTTGATACCCAGGCCCACTTCTCGGCGTCCGCCACCATTGCTTCACGTGGCGCCCAGCTCTCCGTGCGTCCTGGAAACAATTACAACGGCCCAATTAATCAATTAATGATAATAGATGAACACTCGAACAAAGCACTGAGAAGGCTACATGGTGCTTCGTCTGAACAAGGGGAGTAGAAATCATCGCTGGTCCAGTACAAGCTTCAACATATTCATCACATTTCCTGTCGTCGTAGCGACTGCGGCATGTGTGTCTCAGGTACACCGCGCTGCCATTTCGCGTCTGGGGCTCTGCTGCACATTGTACATGCGTTCTGTGTCAACTCACCTCGGCCCGGGTCACCCCCGATATTACGGTGGTGTAAGTGAAAATGTCAGGAGAAACTCCACAGGCATCCGGTAACGCCTTCATCTCTTCCAGCAACAGCAGGGCTGCCTCTGCACCAATGACTCTGTCTAAGCCAGCACTGCTTGACCCTGATCGAACAGACGGCCAACACGACACAACCGTCATGTGCATGTAATGCAGTGCAGTGCAGTGCAGTGCAGGGTTGTTGAAAAAACGAAACGTAAGAACACATGGAGCATACATACGCTTGAGTACCGTGCCTATTGACTTGAACGCGCTTGATCCACTCTTTGAAACAACGACCTACTGATTGAGATGCTGCAACTGTCGCATGGGTAAAAAACTTGTATCTAATACCAAAAAGCAGAAGCAGTCCTTACCGTGGGACGATGGCACATCAACGGCAGAGGCAAACGGCGCTTGTTTTGAGCCAGCCGGCCGAGAAGATGCCGTCGCGGCAGTCACTTCCGGAATATCCTCCACGCTGCCGGCATCTTCAATTTCCTGCCGAGCGATCAATCAGCTCCACGTGTTAGGTATTCCGACAAACACTACCGGCAAACGTCTCTTGCGGTCGTCCCGATTACCCTGCTTCACATATCCAGGGCAACGTAGTGGTGCTGGCTACACTGAAGGAGCTGAAGGAGCTGAAGGAGCTGAAGGAGACCAACGGTCCCAGCTTGGATCGACATCGCGCGCGGGTGCTTCAATCGCAGACCCAATCACGTCAGAAGTGAAACGAGTTGTTAAGGACACAGTTGGGTCCAAAAGACCAGGTATCACCACGGGTTGCTGCGCTCGCACAAACACCAAACACCAAGACTCTCCCTTACGCCGCGGAACACGAAAACATTAAACGTTGGTGATAGGTGCTATGCCGTCTGTCGACACGAGGGCCCATCTAGAAGGTCGAAGAAACGACTCCAACGACCGTACGTGTTCAATCCGTGGAGCGAGCTCGATCGCTTGACGAGAGGCCTATTATATTTGAAGGAAACAACCAGCAAACACATGGCATGATAGCTCTCGCCCTGCATGATGCCGGTGAAACGAGTCATGCAGGAACTCAGTGTGCAATGAAGAGTTCGTTAATCACCTCGAATACCCATGGATCTTGCACAAGAGCATATATGAGCGAGTTGTAAGAAAACACGTCAGGTTGAATGCCCTCCAGGGCCTTGATGCGTTCCATCACTTGAAAGGCTCCGTACACGTCGCTATGATCTCCGAGCGCTCTGATGCAGCTGTTGAGGAACGTCAACGACGGATCAATGCGCAGTTTCCTCGCAGTCTCCATAACGTTGTACACATCCTCCCGGCTGAACTGCAGTCGGACGAGAGCTGCCAAGGTGATGCTGTGTTGGTGAATCGTCGTACATCGTCATGGGACAGGAGGACCAGGCTGGCTGTTAGCGGTGGTGATGCGACACGAGATAGCAGTGCCAATCGTGAGGTTGACAGTGATGATGCCTCACGGTAAATATATCCGTATAAACGAAGAAATGACGCAACCATCCTCAGGTTGCTTTCTACAACATCGTTCAAATCGCCATAACCCAGATTCACAACATGTTGCCGGACACTGCCCCCAATTTGAGTTGGTGGTTCCAAGCAAACGCAGGTCCGTGATGAATTTGTACGCCACTGCAGGTTTACAAGCAGCGGACTTCTTCATGCCTTAATCCTTCGTGTCTTGTTAGATTCGAGCCACGTTAAGACAAACGAAAGTGCAACAAGGACTTGCGCTACTCGGCCGTGAAAATATCACAATCACAACGGTGGAGAGACGTTGTTCTGTCTTCAAAAGCTCTACTCTACTTACAATGTCTGGTGCTGGCGCAGGAGATTCCGTCTGCACGCGCTGCTTTCTAAGTCTCCTTATACAATCAGTCTAACTCACTTGTCCGGCTTGATACCCCTTCGTCGCATTTCAGCATCCACCAAACGAGCCTGCCGCTTGTCGTTCTCGAGGCATAGCGCTTGAAGGACCTTCAGTACAGTGCATTACAGTGCAGTGCAGTACAGTAGCCAACATCGCCAGCCGGTCGTTTGCAAGTCCACCGCGGTTTCAGCACGTACAGAGGTGAAGGCTATGGACGCGTTTCACCAACTATCATAGTCTACCCCTGTGGAACAAATGTGCGTCGTACAACCCAACGCGACTCATATGCATGGGTTCATCCAACATAGGGCGTTAAAAAACTACACCGCGACGGCCTTCCATTCAACTCGCCCTTGCGCAGAGGGGTGCTGTGTGTACCGTAAAGACAGCACTTCTGCAGTACTCTCGCTGGCAACATGGTGCAATGGAAGGGCGGCGTCCACAAAACAGCCCCCCCAAAGGTCCCAATAACACTGCTGATCGGATACAACACAATGTTGTGGTCCCACGGCATCTCTTCTCAACGTCGGTTTCATCCGGTATACCAAGGTCATCCAAGGCTCCAATCTAGCTTGTCGACGAAGGAGAAGGGCATTGGTGTCGTCCATGCAAACAGTGCTTGGTCCCTGGGAGGGCGGTGTCCCTAGAACACGCCATCGTACCTTGTATGCATAGTAACACTCGTGCGCGTGCTACTACTTTCTGTGTTCGCTAGTGTGGACATACAGCCAATTTCGGCCCGGCATCTAACCCACGATTCTCGTTTCTCAAGTCTTGGAACACATCGACGACGCTGCAAGGTACGCGCTACGTAGCGCAATGTACGAAAGACCACTTATGATCTGTAGAAAATGAATACCGAGGAATGATCGTTATTGGAGCCACCAACTATGCACATCGTCACTGCACGCTGGGACAAGTCTTGCTGCCAAGACAAGGTGTGACGTGTCCAACCAGTCTTAGCCATCAAACCTCACCAGGTTGTAGGAGACGAGCGTAGGCGCCACGCTGCTCCCGTGCCCACTGTCATCCTGCCGCAAATATTTGTTGAACACCTCGATGACACGCAATGTGTCTCCCCCCTGCCACAACGAGAACGGGAAGTGCGATACAGGGGAGGTTACCTCTAAATCACAATCCCGTCTGTTACATACAAGTATGAGTGTTGCACAATGCTTCACTTGGTCAGAGAGACAATCCCTGAACGGCGTCTGCAGAGGTCATGACCGGGAGGATAAAATGATGCAATGGAACTGGCAGCAGACACTATTCTTTACTCTCATCCCTCAAGGGCAACAAGGACGATACTATAGGCCATACCTTGGTTAGTCCGGTGAGAATTGAGTTGAAGGTATCCGCCCTAGGACGAATCTCGCGCCTGTTCATTTCTTCAAGCAGCTTGAAGGCCCTGTCGTCCAGATTGCGCGCCATGTAGGCAGCAATGCCAACGTTGAAAGTGATCACATCCGGCACTACGCCGGGGAAATCCTGTACGAACCGTACGTGCACACAAAAACCGAAATCGATCGAAACGGCCAATCCAATCCTTCATGAGTCTACCGCCCACACGTCTATCGCACACGAGGGCCTAGACACCTACATTTAGACGCATGATGGTGTTGGTGCTCTTGAGAAGAGGATCGCCCTTGTGTGTGTTCCCCGTCCTCTCCTACGCTGAATGGTCGAGGTCGAGGCAGTTTAGTCTTATCTTTCGGGCGTACTACACACACATCAGCCACGTTGGATATCAACAACTCATGGTCCCCACGTCAACGCTCAGACAAACATCCAACACTCTCACCCCAAACAATTACCTTGCAAACAGCATGCCGGGAGGAGATTCTCACGCGTGCGAGCAACGCTTGCACAATTCTACACCATGCCCTGTTTGCCGTGGCTGGCTCACCCCGTTCAGAGCCTGTTCGAAAATCTCGATTGCTTCGTCCAGCTTCCCTTGTTTGATGGCGTGATCGATCCGTGCGTTTATCGTGATTCGATCAGGCGCCACTCCAAGATGAGACATGAGGTGCTCTGCTTTCTTTGCGGCAACACGGCTCGCAGAAGACCTTTTCTTTGCAGCTGCGCTGAAGAAAAGGTTGAAGCTGGGCGCAAGGGAACGAACGAAAGGGTTGTATTAACATTTTTTTCATCGATCAAGCGGTGGTTTACCGACATCATCCACCTTTCTTACGCTGCACCATCGGTGGCTTCACACAAACAGGCGAAGCTTAATGCAACTATTGGTGATGGGGGTGACCAGCGGACAACATCATACCCTCGTTTTGTAACTGTTCCCTCATGGGCGAGACAACTACGCTAAGCGAACGAATACATACTGCACACCATACGAACTGCGTATGCTTTAGCACGGAACCTCGAGGAAGGCCGGAAGGAGCCTTAACCCCCCTTCGTTTGATGTGATTGTCCTAAGGTTGCCACCAAAATGATGGTAAACACGTGATGCTGGCAACCAAACCACAGAATCAATATTACCCACAGAAACAACCCTCCGCTTCCTCCTCCTCACCTCCATTCTCTCCATTCTCTTACAGATCAGATCCAACACAACAGCGCACAAGTTAGAGCTACATCATAACGCCAGTAGTCCTCGCTACAGCGGAAGAAAAAACAAATTCCGATCGGTTCCATTTACGAAACACAAAAAAAGTTTTTTGCAAGACCAACGCTTCACTACCAGGCGTTCGCGGCAGATGTTGGCTAGGCAAGCATGCCAGTGGAGGGATACATGCTTGGGCCTGCTCAACCGGGACCTGAGAGCTAAAACGCACGTGCAACTAAAAGGGAGCATAAGCGATTCACCCAGTGCTGTGGCACCAACAAGTGGAAGGAGGCACAGCCTGGTCAAGGCATGTGCGACCTTCAGCAAAATGTTCGGGGACAAAACAACATGGGAGGGAGTGGCCTTGGGTATCCTGGGGTATCCTGCTGGAATGCTTTGCAGCAAGCAGAGCAACGAGGAACTTATGAAGTACAGGGTTTCAATGCCAAAAAAGGTGTGAAACAACGCCCACAAGAACAGCGATTTTGGTGTATAGCCTATGAATGCTTTTGGAGGATTCTGCAGAGACGGTGGCAGAATGACAGAACAAATGCAGGAATCTTCGAACAGAAACCTTCAACGTCATATGAGCAGCGTCTCACGTGTAGGCGTCGGGATCGATACCCCACCGGCTAGATGCTCGCTCAAGCATGTCTAGTCCTCCCGCAAAATTCCCATCCTGCGATACAGTACAATAGGTAAAGATCCACTAATGAGACCAAGAGCGGGGGGGGGGTGCGGGTGTACTCATCGTCGTGCATGCCTTAGTCGTTAGGATATTGACCTCGCATCCCTACAAGCCGGACGGAGCAAGGCGGGTTCTCAACGGACCAGGCTTTAACATCACTTAACGCGAAGCCGGCGAGTGGCGTGGAGCGTGCGCCGCATCTTGCAACGGGTGTTGGACATCTTGTGCTTACTTCTTTGCATACGGATGACAGCTGCGAATGACTTACCTTCGTTTTGTGGTGCTTTCACTCCTAGAGACAGTCATAAACACTGTGTAACTGCCTCGAGGGTGCTTGACCAATTTGACACAACGNTGTGCTTACTTCTTTGCATACGGATGACAGCTGCGAATGACTTACCTTCGTTTTGTGGTGCTTTCACTCCTAGAGACAGTCATAAACACTGTGTAACTGCCTCGAGGGTGCTTGACCAATTTGACACAACGTGGTGCGATCATTCCCCTGGCTCGGAGTGAGAGTTTCGACCCCGCACAATAAAATATACTCGACCACCATTATGGCTACCGCATAAACATAAACCAAAGACAAAAAAAAGCACCAACCTGGTTGCCGACATCACGACCTGATCGGCTTGTTTTACAACGTCGCTGCCAAGCGACGGAAACCCAACCCCGATGGCAAACACCGGGGGGGGGAGAGGTGCGGAAATTCTCATGTGTCCCAACCACCAGAAAGTAAAGAATTCGGGGTTATCCACCCGAGGGCTGCCGCGGCAGTCTGCTCGCGCGGTTGCTGGTATTGGAGAAAGCAGCTCGTTCGCTGATGTAGCACGTGTCTATGCTGCGCTATTGATGAGATGTTTCGTACAGCAATACTGCTTGGTGGAATCGAACAGAGTCTATGACCTTGTGTGCACGAAAAATTGAATTATCGGGGGAGATATCACTGTGTGCTGCTCGGGAAATGTTGAAAACAGGATTTTCGCTGATGCCACGGATTCATTGCTATTATTAACATTAATCTATCTGGGACTCTTTTCTTCGATAGAGATGGATTCGTTGGGTCATATTGATGAAATAACAAACATTGGCTGCTGCCTTCGTTGATGGTTGTTCGCACCTGCACCAGAGCAGAAACGACGATGTTGAAACAGACATCGCCAAGGTCGACGCCCCTGTCCATCATCTCGGTATAGGCCGAAACACAGCGATCTGCCTGCCTGTCTCGCTTTAAGGCATCCAGGAAAGCCCCGGCCGTGTGTTGAGTAGGGCGTTGACCCCTGTCAAGCATAGCCTGCCCCGTCACGTGAACGTGTTGAATAAAGAACGACGAGAGCTCGTGACGGTCATGTGAAGACACACAACACTTCGCTGATTCGTCCACACACGCACATGCTAATCTTGTTCGGAAACGCCAAGTGCAAATCATGAAACTATTTTATCGTAAGGCCTGCCTGTGGGCTGCCAACTTCGCCAGCATCGACGACACAGCGGGACAATATGTTCACCGTTTTGTCGGTTCCCATCCGCCGCTGCACGGCAGGATGCTCTTTCGAGTAAGCACGTGTGCATAAGGACGCCGTCATTCAGAATCATGCTATGTGAGTTTTACTACTCTGTAGTATAAGCGACTGCTGTGTAGTGGACGGCAAAAGAAACTTCCCATTGCTTGAAAATCTAGTACTGCTGGGGGTGTAGCCAAGTTGGAGTCTGTGTGCTCGATACGACAGTTTCTTTGATCCCTCACCTAGTCTGAGTGTTCCAACATATTAGACTTGGGCACTGGGCACACCGCTGCTGCTGCTGTGTGACCGCTGTGGAGTAAGTACACTGAAACGCACTACAACATCAGACAAGGGACAGAAGGAATTCGTACCTTGAAAACCTTGTCCGCGAAGATTGGCTGTCCACATCGGCTTGCTGCCTTCAGTAGCACATCTTGAACTTGCAAAGGGTCCGCGATCTCTGGGTCAGCTGTTCGCATCTGCTTTAGATACTCCTTGTCCGCCCCGAGAGACTTCATCGTAGACGCCAGCAGCCTCTTGTCGCGTGTGCGAGCAGCAGACAGCAATTTGAAAAAGTACTGCTTGCTCCGTTTCTCTATCGCCATCGAGCGACTCTCCTTTTCCAGAGACATGGAATCAGCACGTGAAGGTGGAGAACGGGAAGACTGATGAGGAGGAGAGCACCGAAGGCGAAGCAAGCCACATCGGGATGATACTACGCGGTGTTGCTGGTGCTTCGCCATGAGTGCATCTCCCGCAGGTCTGCATGATCCCACGAAAGCATTCAAGTTGACGGTCATCTGATGTTGCCACCGCTGCCTGTGCCCATCAACAATCCTCGTCTGCCTTCGTCTCCACAACCTCGTAACCACTGTTCTATTGCCGCGGGAGAAAGCTGCACGACGAGACAAGAGGAAGAGAGAACATGCAACGACCGACAAGGGGTTGTTGCCTGCTGTTGCGGGTTGATGTTGCACACAAAGACTATGACATACAATGATGGTTATTGCATGTCATAGTCTTTGGTTGCACACCAGCACAGTACCGAGTATCGACCTGCGGTGCCCCTTCATGAAATCAGATCGCGATGCCCCTTCATGGATGTTGCGGATGTGCACAGCAGTACACCAGACACGCTTGTACCAACCAGTGCGGCACCATCGATTTGCTGTTGTTTTGTGCATTCGTAGCCGTTATACTCTAGAGATTGCGGCGGAGGATGTTTTCGCTGCTTGTTGGGCGGGCTTTTGAACCATGCCGGTTGCATGGAGGAAACGTGATGCGAGTCGTTCTGGGGGCTGTTCGAGGGCACAAGACGGTGGGTACCTTTCCAACAGTAGTGATAGTGTAGTGGAAAATCGATCAAGCTCTGTTCGCGTTTCACATACTACTATCGCACTAGCTACATCCTCACCTGCCTCCAGGACTTTCCGCCCCGCTTCGCTCCCGCCCCCCGCCACTACATCCAAGATTTTAAGTAGCATGGTCAGTCACACAGAGAATGCCGTCTGTTGCATAAGATACCACCCCCACCCGCTTTGGACCGATTTTCAAAGCTCGACTACCCGATTACCCTGCAGGAAAACGGAGTGACGGGGTGCCTTCCATCGAGAAGCTGTCATTAGATTCTGTCATCCTTTTCGTCACTGAATTATTGATAATCGAGCTATCGGTCCATGTGGTGATTTATTAACAATCGAGCTATCGGTCCATGTGGTTGGTTGTTGTTGTTGTTGTCTTCACATTAAACCTTATATATATATTTTTTTTTTGTCAGTTGCTGAATGCCAAAATCTAGCGAAGACTCTCAGCCCATGGTCACGAAAGTGCTAGAGCCATCTGAGGATCTATAGAACACGCACACATATAACGAGAACAAGGTATCCAAGAGCCCGAAGAGGTACACCTAAAAATCCCTGCAGCACCGTATGCATGCGTGCCCAAAAACTGAACTGCACTTCCGTCCCACCGTTCGACTACAGCAGTAGCATCACCCCCTCCCTGTCCCACTACTCTATACCAAAACGGAAGATTGCCGACTACAGCATACTGCTGTCTGAAGTGCTGTCTGTACAAAAACACCATGGTAGGCATGGAACAAGAAGCTGGCGGGGCACAAAGCTGCTGTCTGAAGTGCTGTCAGAATGTGTCTGCGGACGTACAGTGAAAAAGA